CCAAAAACACAGGCGAGGCCTCCTTCAGTCCGTCCAGTCCGGGAGGGAATGGAGGCAGGGAGGCAGCAAACCTCAGCCTGAGCTGGAGGAGGCCCTGGTTCCCACGCCTGCTCTATAAACCTTCCCCTTCATGAATGAGGGGAAACTCATCTGAGAATGTCATCAGGGAGCTCGCCCAGAGTGGGAGGGGCCCGCCTTTGCCCAGGCGCCCGGGGGATGTTCCCTGTGACACACTGTCCAAGCTGGCAGCCCAGGTCTGGGGAAGGCACGGGCGCACACACAAATAGACACAACGGCGCATAAAACACAGAACCAGCGCTGTTCTGGCCTGAGTCAGCCGCATGCCAGAGCTCAGCTACAGCCAAACAGAAACCTTCCTGCGTCTGCTGCATCCTGGTAGGCCACCCAGATCCTCCCATCCTCGCCTTCTCAGGAGCTTGCCCTAAGGATCTTGTTCTCTGTCTCCTGCATGGCCAGTAAACCTCCGCCTCTCAACTGGATCCTTCCCTTGACCTATAAACTTGTTCAAGCCTGTGTAAGGGGGGAAAAAAAACCCTCATTCAAACCCACCAACTGCTGCAGTCTCTCTCCTCGCTCACAGCAATTTCTCTGAAAGAGCCCTTTGTCTCCTCATCCTCACCTCTCTCCCATCCCTCAGCCCCCTCACCACGCCAAACCAGGTCTCAGAACATTCTCTGTAACCTACAAGCCCCTGAATTCAATGGCTGCTCTTAAGTCCTCATCTGTCAAAGACCCCAGTGGTGACTGACATGCCAGCAATGTCTAACCACTGCCTCCCTGGAACACTCATGTCCCCTGGTTCCCACCATTCTCTCTGGCCACCTCTGCCCAGGCTTCTTACCCCTGCCCACCCCCACCGCCCCCCCCAAGCGCATCCTCCTCTCCACTTCTCCCCATAAGTTAGAAAGGAGGGATTCCTCAATGCTCAGGCCTACAGGGCTCACTTTTCCTCTTCTCTGTCTACAATTTCTCCCTATACACAGGTGACACAATGTCTCTCTACCCTTGCCCTGACTCCTGAGCTCCAGACCCATATAACTGACTTCAGGGTCTATATCTCCACTTGAGTGTCCCCAGGCACCTCAATCGCAAAGTGTCCAACACTGGGTTCATGCTCTCTCCCCTGCCCCTCCACACCTCTCATATTCCCTGCTTCACTGATGGAGCCACGCCCCTCCCATCGGTTACCTAACCAGAAGCCTGGGAGTCATGCCTTCTGCCTCATCCCCAGACCCTGTCCTTCCATAACCCACATCCATTCAATCCTACCGCCTAAATTATGTCTTCTAATCCATCCATTTCTGCCCATCCTCTCTCACTTAGATGATAGTAACCGTTTCTTAGCTGCCCACCCTCCTCCATTATTGTTTCCTCCCCCCTCCCCTCCACACTGCTGCAACAGGGATGTCCTCAAAATGCAGACTTGAACCCATTACTCTCAGCTTAGTAAACTGCACCGTCGTTTTGAACAACCCTAAAAGTGGTTGGCCCTTGCCCACTTCTCTAGCTACACTGTCCTTCCTCCAGTCCCTGTAATGGCCATTCTTCCCCACCCACTCCCAGGCCTTGACTATACTGTTCTTTCTGTCTAGAAACTTTCCCCTCCTTCCCAACTGAATCCTCCGATCCCTTCAGAGGGATTTTCCTCACTTCCCTGACCAGATCAGAACCTCCTAGAACAGCCGCTTATGGCCTGTGTGCTTTGTAAGACTTGCCACAGTTTATGTAGGTGGATGATTGATTAATACTTACCCCACTACCACCACCACCACTGGCCTGGGAGCTGCAGGAGTACATAAGTTATATGTGGTTTTGTCCATCATCATATCCTCAGCCCCTACCACAAATAAATATTTGCTGCCTACATGGAGGGATGGGTGTCCTCTTAATGCCTCGTGCCACACAGCAGTTGTCAAAGGTCTGACTAAGGCCTCCACAGGGCCTCAGGGTCCTGGACTCCATTCACTCCTCAGTGTCTGCACCCCCTCTTCTCTTATAAAGATACTTTTCATTGGATTTAGGGCCCATGGGGTAATGAGAATAATCTCATCACATGATTCTTCACTTAATTATACTTCTAAGTCCCTTTTTCCAAATAAGGTCACATTCACAGTGACTAGGTATTAGGACATGGGCATATCTTTTGAGGGGCCATCATTCAACACACTATACTTGACATTCCCCCCCACAGGCTACTGGACCCGTGCAAATCCATGACTCTTGGTTATGAATCTCCACCCAAGGCCTGCCAGAAGCCGGTCCATCCTTGCTGCTTGACACAGTCGCTGCAGGGAAGAAACATCTGCACAGCATATGTTTCAAGGGACCCGGCGTATATGGCATACTGTTCTTAATATGTTTGCTCCCCTTAGGGCTATGTGTTTTAACCAAGATCACCTCTCCGAGAAAGGTTGTTTCCCCAGGTGGGGATTTTTTCCCTGGAGTTAGGGATTAACAGGACTAAGGAAGGGAATAAATCCATAAAACCCTTAACTAAGTGCC